TGCTGGGAAAGATTGAAGGTGGGAGGAGAAGGGGATGACAGAGGATGAGATGGTTGGATGGCATCACTGACTCTATGTACATGAGTTTGAGTAGGCTCCAGGAGTTGGTGATGAACATGGAAGCCTGGCATGCTGAAGTCCACAGGGTTGCAAAGAGTCAAACACAACTGAGTGACTGAACTGAACTGAATGAGCCACAAAAACCTACCCATGAATGTAAAAGTATCTTTAATCATAATTGTAAAAAACTAAAACAACCCAAAGGCCCATCAGCAAGTATCTAGATAAACAATTCTACATCCATACAATGGAATATTACTCAGCAGTAAAAAGGAGTGAGCTACCGATAAACCAATAATGTGAATAATTTCCAAACATATTTTGTTGAGTGAAGAGAGACCTAAAGTGCTACCTACTGTATGATTTCATTTATATAACATACTGAGGCTTCCCTGATAGGTCAGTGGATAAGAATCCACCTGCCAAAGTAGGAGACTCAGGTTCAATCCCTGGTCTGGGAAGTTTCCACATGCCACAGAGCAACTACCCCGTACCCCACAACCACCGAGCTTGTGCTCCAGGCCTCAGGAACCACAACTACTGAGCTCTCGTGACAAGACCACCGAAGCCCACGGGCCCTAGAGCCAGCGCTCTGCAACAAGAGGAGCCACTGCAATGAGAAGCCCACATCCACAGCTAGACACAAGCCCTCACTCTCTGCAACTAGAGAAAAAGCCTGGGCAGCAACAAAGACCCAGCACAGCCAACACATAAGTAAATAAAGAAAATTTATATAACATTCTGGAAAAGGCAAAACTGTAGGGATGCAACAAACCTGCAGTTCCCATATACAGTCAGTTGTTTTTTCTCAAAGGGACTAGGGATACTAAACCCGGAAAAGTAACGTCTTGAATAAATGGTGTGGGAACAACAAATGCAGACAGAAAATGAACCTCAGCCTCCATTTAACATCACACACAAAAATTAATTTGAGATGGATCACAGACCTAGACAAAAAAGTTAAAACTATAAAATCTCTAGAAGAAATGATATATTATCTTCAGAATCTTGGGGTATAGAAAGATTGTTTACCACATAAAAGTACTCAAAAGAGAAAAAGATTTACAAGTTGAACTTCACCAAAATTTTTAAATTTGTGATCATCAAAATAAACACTAAAAAATGAAAAGGCAAGTGAGATACTGAAAGAAAATATCTGGGATACATATGTATGATAAAGAATTATATCCAGAATTTATAAGAACTTCTGAAAATCAATAATCAAAACACAAACAACCTAAATTTTTTAATGTACAAACACCTGAAGAGACACGTCACAAAAGAAAATATATAAATGACAAAAAGAACACAAAAAGTGCTCAACATCACTAATCACCAAGAAAATGTGAATTAAAATCACAATGAAATTCCATTTTAAAACAACTAGAATGGCTAAAATTTAGAAGACCGATAATGACAAACTTTGCAGTGGATGTAGAACAATGAAAATTCTCACACACTGATGGTAGAAATATAAAATGATAAAACCATTTTGGAAAAAATGTCTGAGGGTTTTTTAATAAACATACATCTGTCTTATAAACTAGTGTAGTTAAACTACACTCTTAACTACAAAATGAAAACATACATGTCAATAAAACCGGTAAACAATAATGTTTGCTGAAATTTTTGTTTACAATAGCCAAAAGCTGGAAAAAGACAAATATCCATCAATTCACAATTTATCAAATTGTGGTATAATTATAAAACGGAATACTACTTAACTATAAAAAAGAATGATCGGGATGGGGAATACAAGTATATCCATGGCTGATTCATGTCAATGTATGACAAAAACCACTACAATAATGTAAAGTAATTAGCCTCCAACTAATAAAAAAAAATAAAAATTAAATTAAATTTAAAAAAAGAATGAACACAACAAGATAAATACAACAAGGATGAATATTAAAAAAAAATATGTTGAGGGAAATAAGGCAACCACCAAAGACTACACACTGAATGATTCCATCGTGAGGAAATTCTAGNAAACATCACACCCTCGCCTTCTCCCACAGAGTCCAAAAGTCTGTTCTGTACATCTGTGTCTAGAGTGGTCTTATTTTAAGCAACTGGAAACTGTTTATTGGCAAATTTTTAAAATGTGGTTTCTTTTTTTAATTAGACTTGACAATATAAGAGTGAGTGGATCAAATAAAGAGGTTAAAAACTGAATCAACTATGGGAAGTCTATGCAAAAAAAAGTATAGACTGTCATTGTTATTTCTGATTGGGCAGGAATGAGAGTTAACAATATAAAGTATGTTGATAATATCTTGTATAAGGAAAAAATATGATTTTGTTAACTACACATAACTTCTGTTCTCAATGGAATCCAACACAGAGGACATATTACCTCTCACAACCAATAGTTTTGCTATAGGATCTATAACTATAATTCAAATTCTTCAACATTAGGAACTACAGCAAATTTCAACCCCAAGTGAATTTAAATGACGGTTCACATATTAACAGAAATCTCCATAAATGGAATAAACCGGATCAAAGTATATCTACACTAAAACTGATAATATTTTACCAAAATTTCTTAATCTTTATTTTTAAAATGAAGGAAATACAATTTTAGTATTTAATTGATCTGTGCATTTTTAACCAGAAACCCATCTACTTTCAAACTTAAGTGAGAGAATCCTTAATCCACCTGAGTATGTGCATATGCATGTATGCCCATTTGTGTAGGTGTCTTTGCACAATCACATGTACATGTAACCCAAACAAGCAAGTACTGTGTGGTTCTCCGAAGTTTTAACTGACTTGGTATTGGTATTAAAAGAAAACACTTGAAAGTAAAAGGTCGAGCATCCCATTTTGAAAGCTCTTTGTGGCAGCAGCATACCTGTGCCCTCTTCTGTACCTCCAGGAGGAGTTCAGAGTACTGCAGCTCCAGTTCCTTCTTTTGTTTGTGCCAGCAGCTCTCCTGGGCTTTGATCTGCTCTGCCACTTTGTTAAAGGTGTCTTCCTGGGTTTGCTGAAGCTCTTTCATCGTATCAGACTTGTTTTTACAGATATACTCTAGATGACTTATCTAAATGGTGAAATGCAATACAGAACAAGATATGCTTACCAATGTGTTCTTTGTATCATCTCCCCCAGAAGGCATTCTAGAATTTTCTACTATATTTTATGCCTTAAGATCATACAAAAATTTTAAGCTAAAATGAAAAAAAAAAAAAAGAAGAAAAAACAGGAGTTAGTAGAACAAAACTATATTTTAGCAGAAAATGTGTCATTTATATGTATAGATGACATCTTTTTCTCTAATAAATTGTATGTGTGTGCTCAGTCACTCAGTTGTGTCTGACTCTCTCTGTGACCCCATGGACTGCAGCCCACCAGGCTCCTCTGTCCATGGCATTTTCCAGGCAAGAATACTGAAATTGCTTGCCATTTCCTATTCCAGGGGATCTTCCTAACCCAGGGATCAAACCCATGCCTCCTGCATTGGCAGGTGGATTCTTTACCACTATGCCACGTGTGAGAAGCTCCAATAACAAATAAAGTTACTTATTCTATAATCAATTTTACTGAGAAAATTAAGAATAATATTTTTACCTCTAGAACCAAAGCTCAAGCTGTTCAGGTATTTCAGTGGGAAAGGAAGTATTTAAATGAGATTTACAAATCTACAAACATTTTACATATAAAAAAGCAGAATGTTTCAATCATTTTTTATTTCACATTCAAAACACCGGAAAGCAAATCCTCATCATCTAACATGTACGACAATTAACAATGTTTTGAAATTATGAAAAACTATTAAAACACAATACCATATCAGAGAGCTAAAACATGTACTCACTTTAATTATTGGTTATTTGGAAATCTGTTACATACACATTCACAGCTAAGAACAGTATCTCCACTTATCACAATTTATTCCCTTATTTCCTCAGTTCTACTTCTCAACGCCTATGATTGTTTGCCAATTACACCAAGATAAAAATGCTCTCACCCTAAAATTGGGCCAAGATGCTGTTTCATTACTTCAACAGATTTTAAAAAAACAACTTAGGGAACAATTTTCCTCTCTGTGTCCCTTAAGGGCGAATGTCACTGCAACTAAGACCTAGGAACTAGATCATATAAATATAGTTCTGACTAGTTCAACAGACACAGGATAAGAATCAACACCTTTAACAGAGAAATTCGTTGGACTGCTAAGCCACTTTAATTTTCAATAACCAAAAAAAGGTTTCTAAATTTTTTTTGAAAGACTGAATTCCTAGGTTTGTGAATGTTAAAGAGATGATAAAAGTCCAGTTTTCTCCTACAATATGTCCTTCCTACTTTCTAAAGCACTGAATGGGTTTTGTAATATACAGTTTGTTCTATTACAAGAAATGTCATAAACATAATTTTTAAATTTTAAGTGCTTTCAAAGTAACATCTCATTATTTCCTGAGCAAAGAATTTTAGGATCATGTTTTTGAATAACCGTATCTTGTTTCTATTTTATGCTAACATAAAGAGTTGGTTTATTAATGTAAATGACTAAGTTCTTTGAATTGCTTCATCAGTAAGATTAATTTATTTTCTTTTAATTAGGTCCCTGTGGCTAACACTGGCTAGTAGTATTAGCATGTCCTGCACAGAAAGTGGAGCTCAGAGACTTCATACAGACTTCAGTCACATTTACATGCCCACAGCAATGGCATCAAACTGAGTTGTAGACAAGCCATAATTAATGGTATTGAATTATTAACACCCAAATTCTTTTTGAAATAAGATGAATGTCAGCCCCTCTTAATGATACTGTGATGTGGACAAATGTCACTGAATTTAATAGAGGAATCTGGTGCCTGAGGACAGTTACCTTCTCATTAGCCCTGTTGAGGTCTACGATCAGGGCATCAACATTCTCCTGCAAGACTGCACAAAGCTCAGACCAAGAGAATTTATCCAGCATGCCTTCTGGTTGTTTTATGAGCACAGAGCCTGCTATCAAGTGCTGATACAAGGTATGAAGGAAGGTTAGCTTCTCCTGTGAGAAAAAAAGAAATTAATTCCAGTATATAAACACTGTAAGAAGTAAAACACATAATACACATGGTGAAGAATTTATGTCAAAAATCCTGGAAAGGAAGTGTAGAAGCCAAAAGACCCAGGTTTTAAGGCCAGCTCTGCTCCAACGGAGGACACGATCTGAGTCAGTGTCTGTTCAGCCTTACTTGTCTGTAAAGCCTTCCTTGGCTTTAACATGAGGTATCTGGACCAGCTGCTTCTAAGCTCTTCTAACTGTAAGTTAACATGGTAATTCCATAATTTCATATTTACATTTGCCAAAAAAGATGTTAAGTCAAAAAACCAAAATAAAGAGTGTACCCAACACTGTTAATGAAAAAGTTATACCAATATCTGCACTTTAAATGCACACAATTACTCAGCTTTCCTCCTCCTCCAGAGATTCTAGTTTACTTACCACTTATAGGAAATCTATCCTAAGCCCCTTAGGCAAAGCAGACAGTGATATGAAAGAGATGGAAGATAGGCTCATTATTTTTCCCCCACTTAGAAGTTTATACCAGACTTGGCAAACTGGGCATTTGTAGGTGTTTAAATATCACAAAGTTAGCAGTCCAAAAACAAAAACAAAAAAAACGGACACGGCTACCCAAGACATACTTTAAAACTGTTCAATTAAAAATATGTAAAAAAATTCTTTCAAATTATATTGCTATTTTTGTAGCTAAACCATCCATTGTTTAATGACCTAGAAACACTATACTGTAGAATTCAGTAAAAAGCTGATTTCCATCTTGAACACAAAAAGAGAATTTACTTACTAAAATGCCAAATTGCTCTCGTTATAAAACATTTTTATCCTTTAAGTCAAACAATGGAACTCAAGACAAAGTAATTGTGAAGCTGCAAAATGAGCATTTTATGTAGATAAAATAAGCTCTCTCAAGGTTTTTTAACAGACCAACAGGAAAACTTTTAAAAGAAATTTTAAATTTCTATTTAAAGATAGGAATTCTAATCTTCCAGATAAAACAGCTGAACGTAGCATATGTAAAAGTTTTGTAGTTAGAAACTGTGGTGAAAGTTTCCAATATATATAAAAATATGTATCTTTCATTCTCTCTATAGGTCATCTTAGATTTTTCCAAATATAACAATTTAAAACCCCCCAAAAATCTGAATATGTAGCTTTATCCACAACTTGAATTAAGATACAAGAAGAATCTTTATAACAATGCTATGTATTTTTGTTTTTTAAGCAATTAAAGATGTCTTTTGCATTTTCAACTAAATCGAGACATTCAAAAATCTTATTAAATATAACTAACCAAACATAATACTCAGGCACTAACAACCTTCCCTCTCCACATTTTGCCAAGTGATCGAGTTCTTCCCAAAGGGTAATTCATTGTGTCGCCATCATGTCCTTTTTGCTTGGGCTGTGATGAACCATGCATGACAATCATCCATTTGGCGTGAAAAGAGAATCTCAAGATCCAAAATCAATTCACACATGTTGAACCCAACCACAATCCTGTAGACATGCTGACTTTACAATACAGTCAGCCTTCTAGTTTCCTTTACTTTAATCATTATCTGATGTGTAGAACAATTCCAGCCCCTTCATGTGGACACAATTTAAATCCCAGACTGTAAGAAGAGTGGGAAGAATGTTTCCTTTTTACTCTCTTGGCATTCATGTTCATATTTGTTCGAGTAATGAACTCAATATGCAAGACGACTCAGATAAACTAGCTCCATGCTAGCTAGACTAGCTCTACGTCCCATGGGTAAAAGAAAATATAAGATTACAATTCCACTCACACAGGCTCATACAGTATGGAAGAGTCTGTCATAATATTTTAAGAAGTCATTAATAAATTAACATGGATAGGCAACCCCCAAGGGCATCCAAATAAACTTTTTACCCGTGTGGGACTTGTATTTTTCTAAATTTTGATTAATATACTACAACTATAAAAAATAAGGCAACTGTATTAAAGTAGATATTATTCCTGTTTTGCAAAGAAGGAAGCAAAGATGTGGAGAGACCAAACCATGTGGCTTGCCCGTATTCACAGTATGTAAGCAGCAGTACCTCTATCCAAGTCAGTTCCTTCAGGTTACAAAAAAGATTCTTCCTACCATGTCAGGCTACTAAACTACTGAAATAAAAAAATTATCTTGTCACTGACACACAAGACTGTTAGGAGCAGAGCTGCTTGAGATAGTATGTTCTAATAGAGAAAATAACTTGTACAAATGATAAAACAGTTAAACTACTTTATTTCTCTCACAAAATTGTATCACACAAGAGTAATGGAATGGCTGGTTTTGCAGCTGGCATGAACATTTCAAAATAGCTGAGAAGAATTTTTTGAATTAAATAAGAGTAAAAAGAACCACTTGATAGATGTAAATTTCTAAAAGTGAGACTAGTGCGAGGCCTTCCTGACAGTCCTCTTGTCTCAGGTAATACCTCGGTATCCTTATGGAAAGCCTGGGAAAGCTTCTGAAGTTCACTCTCAGATTGGGCTGCTCGCGCCTTTTCTTTCTCCCAACAGTGCAGCACATTCTGTAGTTCCACTTTCAAAGTGTTTATTAGAGCCTCTCTGTCTGCACATTTAGTGCGTAAATGACTTAACTCTTTACTGACATCCGCCAGCTTATCCTGAAGGTCCTGTTGGAGACATTAAACAAAAAGATGGTAGGAAGATTATAACACTTAAATATAAAATGTTAAATAACTTATTCCAAAAAGCTCTTTACAAGAGTTTTCCTTTCAGCTCATTATTTAAAAAAAAAAAAAAAAAAAAACTTGGTAGCTCAAAAACTTTTAAATAACATTTAAAAAATAAATCTCCTACATTTACTACAAGAACATTTACTTCCCAATGACATTTCAATGCCAGTAGAAATCTCAAATACATGACATAAAATTCTGCTTCACTTTTCAGTCCTTACCCTTAACAGATTTCATTCAAGTACATCCATGACAAGCAACATGAACCCACACCAAAAAATTCCAACTCTGAGAGTTGCCTTAGTACAATTTTGCAAAGATGTAGTACATAAAAGCAGCACAAAAAATAAACTGTTGTCCTGGACCAAGCTAGATGTGGTCTCAGCCCACTACTAGGCATGATGTACTTAAAACAATGACTCCACTCCAAAATTATGAAAATGACTCCAAGCACTAACGTGCTTACATAAAATATGTTGACTGTGTATCTAAGTTTGGACATCAAATCTTAAAACAATTTTTGAATCTATAGTACTATCATTAAATCTGGGAAATGAATTTTTCCTTGAACCAAAACAATTTCCAATAAAGTTTTTTTAATGAAAAATCATTATTTTGATCAACAATGAAAAAAAATTTTTAAGCTGTATCTAAACGTACTTAATAAAAAATAGGAAGATATATTTTCATATAGCTCTCCTTAAAAATATTCCCTAGATAATTATATTAGTTTCTTAACACAACAGGAAAAAGTTATTCTAAATTATAATACCTTTATATTTTTAGTGTGAGATTCTATCTTCTGTTTGGTAGAGTCAAGTTCATTAGATGCCTTTTCCTTAGCATTATTCATGTTGCTTAGCTGATGAAAAAAAATGTAAGTAACTTTTAAAAATACTTTCCAAGGGTGGATAACTCAAAAGCTAATCTTTAAATTTTTATGCAATTATTAAATACAAATTTTTGATAGCAATTCAGTCTTAAAAATGTATTTCTCTTGGTTAATTATGTAGTTTCTGTCACAAGTCCACATGCTAAAAAGAAAAGCAAGCATTCAAGCTTAAAATGTCAGTGATATTGTTGTGTTTTTAGCAGCTATCTGGATAAAGGATTTCATTCTTACTGTAAACAAATATAACTTTATTCTTAAAATCCTACAGGACCAAAATGCCAGAAGCAATGGCATCTATACGGAAAGAAAAAAGGACAGAACAGAAGACTGTTCTTTCTACATCGTGAGGGTATCCGCAGGTCTCTCGCTCCATATGACAACCTCAGGGTCGGTCACATGCAGTCCTACTGGGAAGGCTTGTGGCAGGTCATCAGTTGGTCCTGCTCCGCTTGTGATTTATTTTCTTTGACAGTTCATTCTTCTTTCTGTCAGACTGCTCTTTTTGCTTTCTTTGCAGCCACCCCCTTGGTCTCCCCACTGCTGTCTCTGGCACTGGTTCACAACAAAGCGCATTACTAAGCCAAAGCCTGCTGAGTCGACTTTTCAACTGTGCTGAGGATCATGTGACATTCATCCTCCCAAATAACAATTCGCTGTGGGTAATATGTTCCTACTTACCCTGCAGCTTCCAGAGCTAGGCCTCAGAAGAGGTGCATAAACTACTAACAGTACAGGTTGTCTTGTCTCACTGGGAAAGACGGCAATGTTTGCTCTTTATAGAAATTTAATTATTCCAGTGGTCACTTTCTTTTAAGCCTTTTGAACAATTACAGAAGGCATTTAGAAGACTCACTTTTCCTTCTTTCTTCACCTTAACAAACTAAAGTAAAATATGGCTCTTTTGAAATGGGAAATATAAGGGTTTCATGGCCTTTGTATTACATGAAATAAACACAAAGGGATAAATACTAAATTCCAGGTTTTGTGACTTGTCTTCAATTGGAAAAACTGTCTGTTGTTTTACTAACTGTGTTTAACGTAGTTATTTCATATTTTCTAATTTGATAAGATGTAACTAAAAAACTCTTCAATTTTTAAAAAGAAGTTCATAAAGCATTTTAATAATAAAATAAAACAAAATAATAAAATAAAAATAAAACATTTTAATTGATAATAAGAAAATTATCAATCCACAAATTAAACAATACAAAAGAGAAGATAACATGTACACCCATGGCTGATTCACGCCCATGTATGGCAAAAACCACTACAATATTGTAAAGTAATTAGCCTCCAATTAAAATAAATAAATTAAAAAAGAAAACATTTAAAAAAAAAGAAGATAAATAGAAGCATGAGTTTTTTCAATCAGGAAACCAAAAACCTCCAGGCTACATCAAGCAGATATTTGTTTTTAAAAAACTTCTAACAGTCACTCCCTCTAGAGAATGCAAACTAGTTTCTCTCTTTTTTAGTAAGATCTCTACAATTTGTAGAACTCAAGCCAAAATATCGACAAGCCCTAAATGTCCACTACATATTCCAAATCTCATGAAAACACATTAACATTTAAATATTATATTAACTGAGTTGCACAGCTTTTTTATTAAATTAAAATAGATAAATTATGAAGACCAAGAAGTGACAGTCTTTAGAACTCCTAAAATAGTAGTGTGACAGAAGAGTTACAAAAACACCGTGAGACCTGACTTTAGGCCACGCTTACAGATAAAACAGTGACAGGCAACTTATTATTTTTTCATCTGTGAGGCTGTCAAATCAACATTCGCAATATTTTTGACCTTTGTAACAAGCAAGTAATACGTACTGCTGCAGGCCGAAGGCTATGTGTGTGGAGCCAAACAGTGCAAGTGTTACCTCATTAGATGCATCTTCCAGCTTGTTCTGGTAATCTGTCAAGGTACGTCTCAGAGTCTCAAGGACAACAGAGAAGCTGGGAGGTGTATCTTTGTCCTTGTGGATGCCTACAGAAAAATACAGAATGAAAATACACCATTAAAGCCACAAAGAAACAATAGTTAGCTGAAAAGACATCATGATACATGAGTAGACTCTTATTCTTCTAAGTATACTGCTGTATAGCCAAGTATTAATCGATTTCTAAACAAGTGGTCAAATTAAATTCATAATACATCAAGTACAAATTTATGGCTACTCTGTACCTAAGTCCACCTTGTAGTTTGTAGTAAGCTCTTTTTTTCTTTTTTTCCCCCCATTTCCAAAGGAACTAAAGTATTTGTACATACCTGTCACCCAACAATTAAATAAACAGTCTATACTAAACACTGTTTGGGGAAGTTAAATATACTTACTTTGGTCCCTGTGTTTCTGATCAGTCAGGCCTATTTTTCTCAAACAGTAATTTCTGAACCCAAGAGCACAAAATTTTCTGTTATGCTTAGAAATGATATTCTTCAATCCTTAAAATTCTCAAGTTACATTTGAAATAAATTATAAAAATACTATTACTATCTACATAGGCCCATATCATGTTTCAATTAAAACTTTTAAAACTGATACCCACTGTAAAAATATATTTCCACATTATGCCCTCAAACTATTTTAATTTAGCTAGGACATAAATTAGTTGAGCTAATCAAGGTCACATGGTTAAATGCAGTTTAAAATATTAATCCAAATCATCAAAAGTTTAGTTTCAAAAACTACTTTACACTGTTTGCTTATTGTATTACTCATAAACTGTAAAAAATTAAGTAGCAAATTTTAAAACATACTAAAAGTATAATAATTTCTCCCTCTCATATTTTATAATCTAAATATTAATATAGATAAGAAGCATTCATAATAACTTTTTTATTATTCATTGATTCATTCATTCAACTAATTTAACTCATTAATGTATTCCTACTGTGTACTAATCCTAGACATGGCAAATGGAGATGAACAAGAGTGGTGGAGATTGTTCTTATGGAATTTACCATCTAAAAAGAAGAGATGAGACAGTAAACAATTACATAAGCTCATTCATCCATTCCTCCAGTATTCAGTTGCTGGAACTTCAGGGAGAGGAGGGAAGAAGGCAGTAACAAAGGAAAGAAAGGATGAGTGAAGGGGGGAAAGTCTTTGGTTAATAACAGAACAATCTGATTTACCTCAGAGTATTAATGATAATTATTATTTTAATTTTGAACAAAATATTATTAATAAACATTACATTGCCAAAGTATAATTTAAACACTATCTGAAGTATGGGTACACCTTAGATTTTCTTAAAGAGAATAATAATAATTAATTGAAAAACCAAAAGTAATGTGGAAACAACACATATCCCAGCGAGAGGGGGGAAAAAAGAAGACAGTGCCCTCAGCCATGAAAATGAAGGAGACAGTACTCTTCATAATGACTATGAGTTGGAGAGACAACTCATTAAAAATTTTATTACAGGTCTTACCAAATATATTTTTTTAAATTGCTCTCTTGCTCAAGATTAAAAAAAAAAAATGTAATGTATAATTCTTTTCTTTTGCTACTACACAAGTAGGCTATGAATAAATCATTCAAGGACACCCGGGAAATCTGTTAGCTTATACAATAGGGGAGAAAACTTGCTCTTAGAAATCCAGAAGAATAAAATCACCATAATATGGTTGCTGAGGGATAAGGGGACAAAATGCCCTCCCCTTACTGACCCATGAAAAGCTTATATTCGACATACAATAAAGTCTCTCTGTCTGAAAATGCCTTCACAATAAAGTTCAAATGAGGTGCAAAGTATATGCTTTATGCCCCGGCCACTTTCATTATAGACAGAAGTACTCACTGGCACCTTAACACGACAAAGTGTTCACAAGTAAAAAGAAAAGACCCAGGAGCTTACTGACTGAAATGTGACTCAACCTAATAACGTCCTCATCACTGTACTATTAGCACCCCAAACGATAAACTATTAAAGCTATCCGATCAGTGAAAGGACTAAAAACTCACAGAGAAGAACAGTAATAAACAAATACAGTAAAATTTTAACAATAGTCATAACTGTTTTTTCAAAGGTCAAAGTCCAAATGAAGAAAAGCATGTGTCATGACCATTTATAGTACCATTATGCCAACTCAGAATCTTCTTAGTTTCTCTGTCTGCCCACGTATGTCTCTTTACACGGGTGCCAGCCTGTATTTTCACATCACTGCTGCCTGTCTCAACTTCTTTCTCACTTTTAAGCAGGTTTCAAGTCTGGGTGCTCAGGTGTGTCTGACTCTTTGTGACCCCATGAACTGCAGTCTGCCAGGCTCCTCTGTCCATGGGATTCTCCAGGCAAGAACAGCGGAGTGGGTTGCCCTTTTCTTCTCCAAGGTCAAGTCTGGGTTCACCTTGCCAAAGCTTTTCCTTGAATTAGTAGCCCACAGAAGGGAGTGAGATGGAAGGAAAGGGTCCAAACCTTCCATTTAAATGTCCCGTTTTGGACAATGTGAAAAACTAAATATTTTTACATGACTCAAATAAACCACTGTTTTTCAGGATGGTGTTATCTATCATCTCAGCAACCCACAGTTCCACAGAAGAAACAGTAAATTATAATGACTGAGGTGAGTCTATTTCCTCCACCTTGTCAACCATTCTATCTACTCCAGTATCATGCAAAACCTCAATTATTAAGAAATAATGGACAGAACTTCCTAGGTGGCTCAGTAGTAAAGAATTTGCCTGCCAATGCAGGAGACACAAGTTTGATCCCTGATCCAGGAAGATCCCACATACCACGGAACAACTAAGCCCATATACCGCAACTATTGAGCCGGTGTCCTAGAGCCTGCAAACCACAACTACTGAGAACACAGACCACAACTGCTGAGCCAACACACCCCAGAGCCCATGCTCTGCAGTAAGAGAAGCCCCTGCACTGGGAAGCCCATGCACCACTAGACAGTGGTGGTGAGAAGAGAGAGTATTAGAAAGTAACCCCTGCTCGCTGCAACCAGAGAACAGCCTGTGCAGCAATGAAGACACAACAACGCCAAAAATAAATAAATAAAATTATTTTTTAAAAAAGAAATGGACAGAATATAAAAGGCTTTCCGGGATGGGGAATACATGTAAATCCATGGCTAATTCATTTCAATGTATGACAAAAACCACTGCAATGATGTAAAGTAATTAGCCTCCAACTAATAAAAATAAATGAAAAAAAAAAAAGATATCTACTATAGAACATGAATAGTCATATTCATCCTCAGAATAGAAAAAAAGAAAACAAAACCCTGTTGTTTAATACTGATTTTTAATCATGTAATAAAACACAGAAAATAACACTCAAATGGGTTTTCACCTGAAAAAATCTAAATATTTAAAACAATTATGACTAAGAAAATCCCTTTTTCATTCTAAAAGCACTGAATATAAACATTTTGTTGGCAGTTGTATTTTACAAGCTCAGACTATATTCCATATATTAACTCATCTTATTTACTGAGATCATAAACATCTTCATTATCTTACAAACACTGGTTTCCATCCTGAAAAAAAAAAAATGGCTTATAACTTCCCTCACATATGGACATTATTTATTATGTTAGTCCTACTCACCCACCCACTATGTCCCCAGGAAGAGTTCAAAAAAATACCTCCTTTACCAACTTTTAAGAAATGTGGTGGGGGTGGGGGAGGGGCTGAGCATCCTTGATGAGCTCTGTAGCCTGGTGAGCATCTAGGCGCAGTAGCTGGAGAGCCATGGATAACAGTGGAAAATGATGCCACCAAGCTGGGTTCAGTGAAGATCT